GTTTTGAGAGGCACAACGTATATAATACGATATTAATGTACAGTTGTGTAGTAATCAATTTTTTCAATTAAAGAACGTAAGGAGCCTAATTTCCCCAAAGTAAAACCATGTCATTGGGCTTTTTTGAGGGCTGGGCCCAATGTACGAAATGTTTCCAAGAAAAGCCCAATATCAAGAGAACTCAGGGCCCACCAATAATTAGCACGGCCAGGGGAACAAGACCGGGCAAAATTCATGGTTCAGGGATTTACTTTGAGAAAATAAAAAATCAAGTCCCAAAGTTTAAAATTGCAAAAATCAGGTTTTTTCATGAATTAATTAATTATATTTTACAATTATTATATTAAATTAAATATTTAACTGTAATATAATATAATTAACTCATCCCACCCCACTTCCACCACCCCAACTGCTCCGACCCGACGACCGATGACTACTCCGACGACTACTTTTCGACAGCACTTAATTCCGACGACTATTCCGATGACCGTTCGCCGACACTTAATTTAGATATTTCGAGGTCACAGATAACATATTAAGGTCACAGTTAGCTTAATTCAGATAACTGCTCCAATTCCAAGGTCACATATATCTTATTAAGGTCACAGTTCCGAGGTCACATATATCTTATTAAGGTCACAGTTAACTTCCTTAGTCACTCATCAAAAAAATTATAAGGTCACAGATATCTTATTAATGTCACAGTTAGCTTAATTTAGATAACTGCTCCGATTCCGAGGTCACATATATCTTATTAAGGTCACAGTTAGCTTAATTTCGAGGTCACAGATATCTTAAAAAAAATACAGCTAACTTCATTAGGCACAACAATAATTAGGTCACAGATACCAAAAAGAACGACCGCCGTCGTTGACCCCACCACAACAATAATAAAATACGACCACCATCGCACGGATCCACTACCACCGCCCAAAACATACAGCCACAGATCCACCACAACCACTCATCCCCAGATCTGCGACATATTTCAAAACCAGACAACCATCCCCGCCAACACAGATCTCCACACCACAACCACCACCCAGAATCCCAACTATAAATTCCAAACCATATGTTCCTGAAAATCATGAGAATGATTAGAAATAGACTACCACCTGCACCACCAACCACAACCACCTAAACCCACCACCCAAACACCACCACAAACACAGTAG